GTACACCTAGTAGAATTCCACCAGGGATAAAGAAAAGCCAGAGGCTGCACTGCATCTGAAACCAAGTAATTGGTAAACTTCACAAGGGAATGAATATGAAAGATTGGGACAAAAAGAGACCTGAATTGAAACAGACTCGGAGTTCAGTGTTTTAAATGATTTGGTGCCCAAGTCTCTAAGGCTCACTGTTGTAATTATCCTCCCACGGGAATCCCTACTCCCACTTCTTCATATTGCCAAGAATTATAATGCAACTTCCCCAAACAAGTCAAAATGCCGCCTTTCAATACTAGCTATATAACCTCTTCAAGTTTTAGTTTTTTTTCATCTACAATTTTGATAAGGATAGAACTTTTGCATGAGGGTTAAATAAACAATGTGTTAGGTGTAGCTACTAGCATGTGAGCAAATTTGGAAAACTCAGCACTGGCCACAGGACTGGAAAAGGTCAGTTTTCATTCCAATCCCTAAGAAAGGCAATCCCAAAGAATGCTCAAACTATCGCACAATTGCACTCATCTCACACGCTAGTAGAGTAATGCTCAAAATTCTCCAAGCCAGGCTTCAGCAATACGTGAACCGTGAACTCCCAGATGTTCAAGCTGGTTTTAGAAAAGGCAGAGAAACCAGAGATCAAATTGCCAATATCCACTNACACATGGATGTGAGAGTTGGACTGTGAAGAAAGCTGAGCGTCGAAAAATTGATGCTTTTGAAGTATGGTGTTGGAGAAGACTCTTGCGAGTCCCTTGGACTGCAAGGAGATCCAACCAGTCCACCCTAAAGGAGATCAGTCCTGGGTGTTCATTGGAAAGACTGATGCTGAAGCTGAAACCCCAGTACTTTGGCCACCTCATGAGAAGAGTTGACTCATTGGAAAAGACCCTGATGCTGGGAGGGATTGGGATCAGGAGGAGAAGGGGACGACAGAGGATGAGATGGCTGGATGGCATCACTGACTCAATGGGCGTGGGCTTGGGTAGACTCCAGGAGTTGATAATGGACAGGGAGGCCTGGTGTGCTGCAATTCATGGGGTCGCAAAGAGTCGGACACAACTGAGTGACTGAACTGAACTGAACTAGTTGGTTCTTTAGCCCATAGAATATTTTGAAATCAAACTCTGCAGTGCTGTGGATTATCTTCATTTTATAGTCAGTGGTATTATGATACACAGAAAATCTGAGAATTCATCATTCATATAATGTAGTTGATATTGCTGGCTACCATCAAGTAGTTATTTTTCCCTTTTTCCTTCATGAAAAAAGTGAAAGTGTTAGTCACTCAGTCATGTCTGACTCTCTGTGACCCCATGGACTGTAGCCTACTAGGCTCCTCCGTCCATGAAATTCTTCAGGCAAGAATACTGGAGTGGGTAGTTATTCCCTTCTCCAGGGGATCTTCCCCATCCAGGGATCTTCCCCAGGTTTCCTGTATTGCAGGCAGATTCTTCACCATCTGAGCCCACCAGGGAAGCCCCTTTTTCCTTCGTAATGCTTAGGAATATGGCTGACTAGTATAAAGACTACATTTCCCAGCATCCCTTGAGCCAGGTGCAGCTCTATGACTAAGGCCTTGTTAATAAGATTTAAGACTTCTGGGAAGCCCCTTTAAAGTCAGGAGCCTTTCTTTGTGGTATTTCCCCTCCTGCATCTAATCTGGATATTAAATAATTTGGGGAATAGAAGTCATACGTGGCTAAGCAACATAATAGGAGCCTGGATCCCTAATCCCATGAGGCCCACCACCACTCTGACCCCCTCCAGACTTCCTGAAAGTGAAAGAAATAAACTCTTCCACTTAAGGCACTGCTGTGTAGGGTTTTCCAGTTACATGAAGCCAAACCAAATCTGAACAAAACAGTTGGAATGCTGGTTTATTTTGTTGGGACTTAAAGTTATAATCTGAACTATGTAATATTTTATGTCTTGCCTTTTTTTTTAAGATTCTTAAAAAATTCTCTTTAAAAATTAACATACCAGCTGATGAAAACAAAATCAGAGTAAAATCACACTCACATCATAAAACCATCTGTGACTCACTCTTAACCTCGGATAATTAAAAGAATGGGAAAAAGAAGAAGGGAAAACCATCATGTCAAATTATGGCTCCTCTGGTAGCTTTAGGACTTTCTTTAGAATTGGTTATTAGTGGGCAATAATGAAGCAAATTGCACATGCATATTACTTCTGAGTTATGAACAATGCAACCAGCAATAACCTTTGAAGCTGTCAGGATCTTTTCAGGCAAGCAATTAAAGTGAAAAATGAGAGTGTGCACAATTTCCATCACCCAATACTACATGTAATAACATCACCTACAAACACTGACATAAGAGTGTGACTCGGTCTGAATATTTATTAATGCAGATCTGTTCCCATTTGTTCCTTTTTCCCCCTGTAACCCATTCCACCCCCACCTGCCAAAAATTTTTTTTTTCATTTCTTTAAAGGGCTGCTCTGACATCATGAATTACATTTACCTGAAACCTACATGCACTATGACATCCCTCTTATCTTCACCTCAGGAAAGTTCCTTCCTTATCCCCTGACCAAAATACAAATTCAGGGCAAACTTGGATTCCAGAGAAGAAAAAGTACATAAGGACATAAGCTCTGATTAGGAAAACACAAAATCAAGATTATAATAATTAACATTAACAACTGATATTTATATGAGGCCAAATATCTGTCAAGCCTTGCATGCTAGGGACTGAAGGCCCTTCAGTCACCCATCAAGGTCCCATTTCTCATGTACATCAGACTCTGGAGGATGACTTACACTGATCTATAATAAAAATGGGCTGATGTAAAAAAACACACACACACACACAAAAACTGACTATCTGCTTAAGTGTAGAAATCACTCCTTGCTTACATATGTTTCATGATTTAAATACTTGGTAGGACTTCGAGAAAAGGCAGGAATAAAGAGAGGTTAGCCACTTGGATTAGGTTTTTCCAAGCAGAGAAGAAACCCTTGTGCTGAATCTGAAGATGTGAGGCTATGGGTCCTATAAGCAAATCTGTCTCATATGGTTTCAGTCATTTCTATGCCACTAAGTACCTAGAGACCAGTGATTCTTTCTCAACTAGAACTGCTCACTAGTATCACCTGGGCAGCTTTCAAAAATTCTGATGCCTAAAACCAATCTCCAAATATTCTAACATGCAATCAGAAAAGGGATGAAGATCTGGTTTAGAAAGTCATTAAATCAGTTTGCATTTTCCCCCCAAACTAAAAAGACAATTGTAAAACTGTAAATGATTTACTGAAAATAATTAAAAAGTTTTATAAATAAATCCAAGTCTGAATTCAGACTTGACTTAAGGCTCAGGTCTTCACCACTCCCACCTCAATCTTTATAGTTTTTATAAAGAAAGTGTTAAGCTTAATGATTATGTTGACTATTAGTACCATGTATCTTTAAAAGCAAATTACAACCAACCAAACACTAACAGTCCTGGAATTGTGAGCAATTTTTATCTACTCAATAAGAGTGTTCTGGCAAGCCCTCTTACTGGGAACTCCCGCATCCCCTCCTCCACAACCTTTTATTTTTGGTCACTGATTTTCTTCACAGTATATTCCTAAAATAGTAAGACTGCATTCCTTGAAGTATTCTATGGCTCAGAATTTTCTGTCATTCACATTGGCCCCAACCAGTGCCGTTTTTCTTGCTGTTATTATTCACCTCACTTAGAAATCAGGTCATAACCAGGCACAATCATTGTGCATTTTGGAAGCCAGTTAAGGGTTTGGCAAAAGGAATCACCCTTATTATTTCTCGTGTCCCAGGGAAGCAGAGGCAGAATCACTGCTTTCAAAAAAAAAAAAAAAAAAGGCAGAGAGAGAAACAATTGAACATCTGGACCTGGAGTGACCTGGCTGTTCTACCTAAAAGCCATCAAACATGAGGGCCCACATCAGTTACAGTTCACTGGGGTGGATGGCTGATCTGCAAAGCTCTGCCTGGCAGGCTCCGGGATCCCTCACGGCGTCTCTGTGCCCAGATAGCAGCCAGAACACAGTGTGCAGGCTCTAGGGCCACAAAGTTTGTATAGATGTCGGGGATTCATTCCTCCCCGATCTGCGTGGGTTGTGTACTCCTACTTGCTAATGAGGAGGGGCACATGCTGGGCGTCCACAGATCAGTCTCACTGATGGTGTGAATTTGGGCCTAGAAGGCCCTGGCACATGGCAGATGGCCCCTGGAATTCTTGGCTTCTGTGGAAGACCGTCTGGGAAGCAACTCCAGACTTCCTGTTGCTCTTTTTTTTTTTTTCTCCAAGGCTTTCATTTCTGTAGCCAGGCAATATAATAATCATGGGCACAGTCGGCTACTTAACTCTGTGACCTGAGCAAGTTTCTCAGCCTAAGTCTCAGTTTTTTGACATGAAAAGCAGTGATTCATAGTTCCTACATGTTATGAGATTATTATGAGGATTAAGAGACAAGTGGCGCAGAGCTCGTAGTGGCTGCTACATGGTCAATACTTAATAAACTATACCTGTTATTATTGCAGGTAGTCAGGTCTGAAAGCATTTAGTGTTTACACCATTGGACTACATTTGTGAACGATCAATTGTTCTTAAGTAGCAGTGAGAACTTAGCTGGTGCTGCTAGTGGTAAAAGAGCCTGCCTACCAATGTAAGAGACATAAGAGGCGCGGGTTTGATCCCTGGATTGGAAAGATCCCCTGGAGGGGGGGCAAGGCCGACCCACCCCAGTATTCTTGCCTGGAGAACTCCATGGACAGAGGAGCCTGGCAGGCTAGAGTTCATGGGGTCAAAAAGAGTCGGACACGACTGAAGCGACTTAGCAGCATGCACCACCTAGTTCTGTCATAGTATTCAATAGCAATGTTCTCAAATTGCCGACTGGGCTTTTCTTTTTTTTTTCTCACTAAAATACTGGAATTCTTTGGAAGCACTGGAATGAAAAACACAGACAAACTGTGACAAAAGCCAGAATCTGCAACACAGGCTTAACAGTAACTCACCTTCACCTCCTACTCCGTCTCTCCTCTGATGACTGATCTTAAGGAACACAAGATCTGGATCCAGAAGACCTGGATCCAGTCTTCATTCTAACTAGTTCTTGTTTTCAGCTACTAAGTCCTGCTGATTCTTTTGCGACCACATGGACTGTAGTCCGCCAGGCTCCTCTGTCCATGGGGATTTCACAGGTAAGAATAATGTAGTGTTTTGAAAAGAAAAATTGAGAATAAGCCATTCCTTCTCCAGGGGATCTTCCCTGACTCAGGGGTCAAACCTGCATCTTTTGTATTGGCAGGTGGATTCTTTACCATGGAGTCACCCGGGAAACCAGCTAGTTCTAACTTATGGCTTTAAGCAAATTAGTTTCCTTTCCTGTGAAGTGATGGTGCACACCACCGTCATAAGCTTGAGATAAGAATCATCTGTGAATTGAGCGATTCCAGTATAAACGCTAAGGCTGCACGTCCGGCTGCCAACCTGAGGTGGCCTTGCACGTATTATCTCCCCAGTAAGAATAACCTGATGCAATATTATTTACTTGTTAGTATTTTAAACAAATACTACGTGGGGAGGAGAAGGCTTCAATTACACACTGAAATAGTGACCTGAGTTCTTTGTATAAAGGGCTTAGACTTCATCTGCCTTCATTCCTGAAGCTTAGCAAGCATGTGCTTATGCGCCCCCATCGCTTTTCTCCTACAAGAGTAAGGACCTTCATCAGAAAGCCCTCCAACTGCGCTTCCAAAGAGTCACGTGTCTTGTCAGTGGAGACAGAAAACTTTCTGGCTAGTTTTCAACTGTGTTTATTAAACCACTCTAACTAGAAACAGTGTGATCTATTAACGTGCTTTAGAGATAAAAGGAAGGCCTTTCAATTTATAAACCAAAACACATTGAAATGATTTTATCACACTTTCGAACCAAATGCAAAACTCCCCATAATGCTTAAGTAAAACAAGCATTATCAAAGTAATCGCAAGACATCAGATTCCTCAGAGAGGTTCAGGAGACTTCAGGGATTTGGTAAACATTACTATCAGCTTAGTTCCAGAAAATGGAACACAGGGAGGCTGATGGATTTTCTCAGCTTACTGGAGATGAGGTTTAATACTCTAGACATGTATTCAATGTCATAAAGATATTAAAAAAGGAATGCACAGATAACATACACTTTTAAAATAGTATGTTCTTTGCTGACTGTCTACAGCCACGCTGCCTGTCATTCACTTCCTCCTTCAATTCACTCTAGCCAAGGATCTAGCTCAGGGTGTTCTCAACATTTCAACAGTGCTATACATATTTTAAATTGTAACTAGTACATCTCCCGCACAGAAATATACAGAAGGCTCACAAAACATTACTCAACTTCACTGTATGCAACCAAGATATTATTTCGCTTTTTTCAAATGTTGGGACAACCCACTAAATTGATTTTATGAACCATTCATGAGTCCCAAATAGTGACATTTTAAAAAATGTAACTCTTGCTAAATTACAAGTCTATAATAGCATGCATTATGCCCACCCCACACACGACTATTGTTTATAAGACAAAAGACTTAGCTAACTATAGAAGATCCTTCCCAATTTGGCTCCAAACTCATCTTCCCAAGTTCTCACAGTATAGCTCCTAGCTTCATTTCATCCTCTCCACACACCTCGTTCACACTCCATACCTTCTGTTCTGATGATCCTGTTTGCCTCCCCAGGTTCACTGCCTGCCTTTCTCTGCCAGGCTCTCTGGCCAGGATTAGCCAATGAAAAGCACCAGAAGGAAATCAGAGGGTGAAAGAGAGACGTATTCTGCTGATAATAAGCCTTTGTAACATAGGCTGCTTCCCCACTTCTCTGTAGCCACGCTCGGATTCATCCTCCCAAGTTCCACTACATGGGGTACCTCCCCTCCAAAGCGCTCCAGAACTTACTTAATAGAATTCACCTTAGTACACACCTCTGTTAGGAGGCTGAATTACACTTAAATTATCTACATCCCAACAGACTCAGCTTCTCCAGGGCCACCACCCATTTCCCTCTGTCCCCAGCCATTAGTACAGAGGTTGGCCTGTAACTGTGATCACTGAAAGGATCACTAAATGAGTGAAAGGTGAGAGAGCTGTTAATTATCAAATGACGTCACAATTATGTGCCAGGAAGTAGTGTTTTCTAACAATGGTGTCTGCAGAGCTACTTCATCGAAGCTCCCCCTCTGGGGTGACACAGTCTCACACTCGTGCTCGGCCGTGTCCGGCTCCTTGCGACCCCACGGACTGGAGCCTGCCAAGTTCCTCTGTCCATGGAGTTCTCCAGGTTAAGAATACTGGAGTGGGTGGCCATTTCCTCCTCCAGGGGGGTCTTCCCGACCCAGGGATCGAACTCACGTCTCTTACATTTCCTGCCTTGACAGGCGTATTCTTTATCACTGAGCCACCTAGGATGCCCGGGGCGACCTAGTCTGTATTTTCTAAATATAACTGCTGGAAGTCAGCTCCAGAAAACCGTTGCTTACCGTGTGGTACACTGACTATCTCTGGCGGTAACTAACTAGCTCCTTCACAATCCCACATTACCTAGCAGGGTGTTTTCTGCTTATTATGCTAATTACATTTTACTTGAAAGATGTAATTATTGCTGCAACCCGAAGAAGTAATTAATGGCCAATTTTAGTGGGCAAAATATTCATTAATCAAGTCAACAGACAACAGACCTACAGAGTTTAAGAAATGTCCTTAGAGAAGAGAAAAAAGAATCACCTAGAGATTCCTCCATTCCATAAATACAGGTTAAGTCCAGTCAATTACAGTCTCCTGAAAGTTTACCTTTCAGGTTTACTCCAATGACTCCTAGTGAAGTCTCAGTTTAAACTTTTGGCTTCTAAAATGTATTACCCAACAGAATTGTATTGCATGCAAAGGTGTGATACGGAGGAGAGATACATCTCATATCGGGTCTCTTGAAAATGCTGATTTGCTCAAGGGTTCCCCAACTCAAATACCAGCCTCTGTTTTCTTAAAAGAAAGGCAGGGAGAGAGGTGTCATAATGAGAACACTATTCTGTTTGCTGGATTTTTACACCATCTTTGTCCCTTATAAACACTCAGCCTTTTAAATGTGAGGGAGAGAGGATATTTAAAATTCTTCTAACATGTTAGTAATAAGAGCCCAGGGAAGTATTTCTCAATGGGAAACAACACAGTGACCAGGGATCAGATCAAACTCTACCTACTATTAAAAGATACTTCAATCCCCAAGACAACTGTCCCTCACACAAAATGATAAACCCATCGCCCTGTTTCCTACAGCTCTTCTCTTCAATGCCCTCTTATAATATTTATATGCTCAGATTTATGTCAACTGTATATTTACTAGACATGTTCCCCCATTACATTATAAGGGGCTTAAGGGACCAGGAGAGATGGGTCACAGAAAGCAGTATACAATAATTGACAGTCAAGTTTATTTTTTACACCAAAAAAAATTTCCATGTTTTCATTTAATTTTAAATGCCAACAACCATATTCTAGCCTCCACATGCTCATAAAGCTGTTCAACAGTCCAGAAAGAAAAAAATAATAATAATTTTGTTTTAAATAATGTTCACCATCCACATCTTAATAGTCTGGACACTGAAGCATTTTTCATTGAGAGTAATGATCTCCAGGAGTAAAAATAATATAATTATAACTGACCTACTTGGTCAGCTAAATCACAACCAGAAATGCACTGGTATGTATTTCATTCACTGTGTCAAAAAATCTTCATTCTGGACCATCAACATAGCACTAAATTTTGATCTGTCATTGAAAACAGGTCGCTTCTATTTCTGGCTTACAGCAAGGTAACAGGGTACAGCAATTGGCAAAGACAGCTAATATTTCATATTAAATCTCCCCACCTGACCTTCTGAATCTAAAGTAGAGAGACTCATGAATAAGGAATTATTTATTATATAAACATCTCCTTTACGTCTTAAAAATAAAAAACCTCTTAAAGCATGGAAAGAAAGATCAAAATCCTTGGGAAGAAAGCTGGTTGTTGACGGGATGGCCACTGAAGGCCCCTGAAGGCTGTGGGCTATACTCCTCAGCTGCCTCCTCTTGCAAACAGGAGCGCATGGGGAGCCCTCGCATTTGAGCAGACCATGAGACAAAGCCAGGACAAGCGTTTCCAAGGGAGGACGTCGATGGAAGGGCACGCTGGCCACTCTAGGCGTGGCTCTTTGGTGGCCCTTTGCCGCTGCCACGCAAGGGGCATGAATTACACGCGCTGTAGGAGAGAGCAACTCTCCTCTACGACTCATTCTGAAATCACACGCGGATTCCCCTTTAAACCACATTTTTGCCTTTCTTTACACAAAAACTTTGAGAAAAACTTTGCAGCTATCTCCCCGCCTTTACTCCCCCACCCCAGCCTAGGTAAAGTGACCCTCCCGTCTGCTCCCGTGCACCCCGACTTCACACTCACCACAAGCTCTGCCGCCCAACTGGCGCTCCCTCCCACAAGGCCAGAGTTTCTCTGGTGGGGTGGGGGAGCTTTACAAACTAGTTTACACCTGGGTACTCCTCCTGCGATTCTGACTTAACTGATCTGAGACGGAAGAGCCACTAAATGAAGGCACTTGGAGTTTTAAAAGCTCCCCAGGTGACTCTGATGTGCAGCCATGACTGAGAACCACTGCCGACTTCAGCTCCCCGAGGACATGCCCCGTGGCTGGCTCATACCCTGGCACCCAGCACAGTGCCTGCTCACTGAGTATTAACTGAATGAATATAAAATGCTGTCCAATGATTGCAGAGTGAGGGTAAGCCGGGAGGGGACCGGCTCGGGGTATACACTCACTGTGCTCTTCAAACTGGACGTGCACCCGAGCCAGGTGGACGGCTTCTTACAGCTCAGCCTGCCGGGCCCCACCTCTGAGAATATGCAATTGCACCAAGCTCCCGGGTGACACAAATACTTCCAGAACCATTGCCCTATAAAGGACTAAAGCTGCCTAATCATCTTAGATTCAGCTACATGTGGTAACACGTGACCGCTGGGGCCGTGTGGCGAAGGGAAGTAGTACTGTGGGGAACGTCACAGGGAGGGATTGCTGGCCATAGACCAGGGCCAAGGACACCACGCCTCTGGACTCCCAACTCCCCCAGGGAATCTTTCATTTTCATGGCTTAAGTATCTGAATCATCTGTCAGGTGCTCACGCCCACCAAGGATTAAGGTGTGGCCAGTAAGAACAATAGCATCAACATGTAAGTAAAAATTACAGAACACTTTCCTAGAAATATAGACCCAAGATCAAATTTTCCCAGAGCACCAGTGGCAGACTCCAGCCAGAAAACAAACCCACGGCTGCTTGTTAAATCAACTCAAGCACTAGATTCTACAGCTGTAAAAATACAGTGGTTTAAAACCCAAGCTTCTAATAGCCACCCAACTAGATGCTATATTAGAATTACTTAGGGATTAAAAAAAAAAAAATGCAAGTTTTCTTCAACTCTCAGTTAAGAGATTTCTTTCTTGGGAGACAAAGGTAAGGACGAAGGAAAATGCCCAGTGCATCAGGTTTTCCCACGAGTGTACTGGTTACTGGTTCCCAGGAAAGGGAAGGAGGAATGCTCGCCGGCCCTTCCCACTGCCCTCCAATCACACAAGCCATGAACAGCGGCACAAATGGAATCGTGACAGTGACCTGGGCAGGGCTATTCTCTCCCATGGCTAGTTACTGGTCCTCTGGATTCTAGCCAGCAGTGATAAATCTGAATGTCTGAAAACTAAACACTCTTGGGTTGTGAAAAAGCTAAACTGCAAGGAGTTTCTGAAGCAGAAGTAAACAGGAAACTGTGGCTTCTGAAAAAGACCTCTGTTATTAGGACGAGAGGCGCAAGAAGGTGGATGATTCACCTACACAACGATGGTAAAGCCTTACAGTTACATTCAGCCATAGTGACATCATGGCTCTAGAAAATGTCATATGGATAAATATTAATGTGGTGTCCTGGACGGGATTCCACAACAAAAAAGGACAATAGGTTAAAAACTAAGGAAATCTGAATCAAGTCTTTACTTAGTTACCAGTTTGGTTCATAATTGTGACAAGTATACTATACTAAGGGCTTCCCTGGTGGTGCAGCGGTAAAGAATCCACCTGCAATGCAGGAGATGTAGGTTCAATCCCTGGGTCAGGAAGATCCCCTGGAGGAGTCTATGGCAACTCACTCCAGCATTCTTGCCTGGAGAATCCCATGGACAGAGGAGCCAGGTGGGCTGAAGTCCGTAAGTTCGCAGAGTCGGAAATGACTGAGTATGCACGAATACTAAAGTAAGATGTTCACTAAGAGGGAAAACTGGGTGTGAGAACACCTAACTCTCTACTGTCTGCAATTTTCCTGTCAACCTCAAATTATTCTACAATAAGAGGTTGTTTAGAAAAATTAGGACACTGATAGTCTGAGACATTTGTTAAAGCAAAGTGGTAGATACACGGGTAGGTATCTGTTGCATTATTTTCTGTATGCTTAAAATATTTCTGAAATATTTCCTAATTTAAAATGTAATTTGAAACTAAGAAAACTACACACATACACGCATCTCCAATCCCCATCCCACAAAAGGGCTGGTGTTTGATTCAATAAGGATGCTATGCTGAAAGCAGGCCTGAAACACACCCTCAGCCACCAGCTCCCTCGGATCCCCTTTGGTCGGAGGCACCTTGGACTGTTGGTTCTGTACGGTGGAGGGGACACCCTCCCCCATCTCGGGAGTGCCCTTGGAGGAAAGCTGTGAAGGATGTAAACTTGGTCCCACCTGCTCCCCAGGCTCCCAGCCTCTGCCTCTCCCCTCACATCCTCCAGAGCCTTCCACGTTTGATCCCACATTCCCACGGAGCCTGAAACCCAGCTGGACCCCTTCATGTGTCACCTGCCAGCAGCCTTAGGATGTGGCTCTCCAAAGAGCAGAGGCTTGTTAACGATGACAGAAAAGAGTCTCTGAGCCCACAGGAGGGAACTGAAAGGTGGAATTTCAAGGCACTGGGACAGACACAGGGCCACCTGCGTCTTATAGGTCCTGCCTAGATTCCTTCTTGGCTTCAGAGTGGACCGCATCTGGGCAGAGCTAAAAGCCCATTCCCTGTGCTCCAATGGCCTAACTCAGCGATGATTCCTGAAGTTGTTAAAATCAACACATTGATTTCTTACATTGTTCAACCTCCAAATGAGTTAAAAACAGGTGGTGGACCTGCTAGAATGGGAGGGTAGGATAAGAGGAGCTAAGAGGCCAAGACCACTCATAAACTGGAATCTAATCCCTGCAATGGTGGGGCGTTCACGGCTGCCCACGCGTTCCTGAGGAGGGCTATTTTCGCTCAGCTGTTTGAACGCCAATACCAAGGAATGTGTGTGGCAGCCAGCCTTCTCCCGACACCTCTGCCTTGGGTCTCGCCCAGACCGAGTGAGTGAGGATGAGGGGAGGGAGGCCCAGGAGACATCACTTGGGGGTTGAAGAAGTGAAACTGAGAGCTCACTGGTTTGATTTCTAGACCAACAGCGTGTGCCTACTTGGTTCCTCCTTGTCCTTATCTGTGCAATTACCTTATTTCCTCCACCTCTCGGAGTCAAATCCAGGCCTCCCCAAAGGGCCCATGAAAGTCCTAAATGCAGCCAGGGGCTCTCTGCTTGCTTTTACCTCATTCATCCTTTCACTCCACAAATACCGACTCAACACTTTACTTTATGTGTGGGTACTTCTCTAGGCACTGGAAATACAGCAGTGAGTGAAACAGAGAAAACCCCTTCTGCTCTGGACTTTACATTCTAGATAGGGAAAGGGTCAATAAGGAAATAAGTGAATATATACTAATCTGCCCACAGTATGGGAGACCTGGGTTCGATCCCTGGGTGGAGAAGATCCTCCGGAGGAGGACATGGCAACCCACTTCAGTATTCTGGCCTGGAAAATTCCCATGAAGAAAGTAGCCTGGCAGGCTACAGTCCATGGGGTTGCAAAGAGTCAGACATGCTTGAGTGACATGTAGACTATGCATCTACATGTATATGACATCAGGAAGAACACGGGGAAGAACAGCTGGGGAAGGTTCTGGTCCCTTCACCGGCAAATGTAGCACTATTATTATTCAACCTGGTGAATGCTTTTGTGCCGTCTCTTCAGCCAGATACCCTACATCCAAGGACAGGGGTTTCAGGCTTCTCTGAAGACAGCTTTGTACACCTAACAGGTAATCAATTCTGTTGAACAAAAGAATTTATGTGATGCAGCCAAGTCCTATTTTAGAACCTGAGACCTTCTGGGCATGGAGGAAAGTCAGGACAGTGATGAGTGGACGTGGAGCCACGTCCGTATCACATCCCTATCTCCGGGGCAGCATCCATGATGAGACACAGTGAAGCAACCAGGTGTGATTCCAGCATGCAGGATGTGTACATTTTAGTCGAAAAGACAGTCGACAGGAAATAATTTCAACCTGTGACCACTTCCTTGAAGGGAACAAGCCGGGAGGTAAAAAGGAGACTCTCAGCAAGGAGGTTAGGGAAAGCCTTTCTGAAAAGGTGATGTTTCAGCTGAGATGTAAAGGATGAAAGAAGCCAGCTGGGTAAAGGGCAGGACAGGAGTGGGGGAGGAGGGGTTTAGGGATGCAGGGGAGGGGGTAAGGGTGCAGGGATGAGGCTGGGGGGGCAGGGATGAGGCTGGGAAAAGATTGGGTACAAGGGAAGAGGCAGGGGTGCAGGGATGAAGTTGGGGGGGCAGGGTGCAAGGATGAGGCTGGGAGAGGACAAGGTGCAGGGGAGGGCACAGTGGTGCAGGGATGAGGCTGGGAAGAAGGCAGAAGAGTCTAAGCAGGAGAGCACATGAAATTCATATTTGAAGGTTACTCTAACAAGATAATCCCAGGATCAGGGTAACCACATATCAGTTCGTTGGGACAATATCATTTGGTCCTAATGCCTCAGGATGCTATTAATAGCACCCTATTTCACTCTCCAAAGTGTTACAGATTCAAAGAAAAATGATATAGTCATCCTCTCCAGACCCATTATTATAACAAACATGATCCATTGTTATGTGAAACCGGATATTCTCCAGGTCGATCATGTCCCTCTCAAACCAAGAACAGAAGTCGATACAACAGATTCTATAATCAAGTCAAGCCTGCCTTCCAGCACCATAATTAATAAAAGGTTTTACTGTATCTTTTTTTTAACAGGGAAAAAATAAAATTCCATCAACTTCTTCCATGACACATTCCGTGTTCACAGCAGCCGCAGGGGGCATACTTTTTCACGGATCAAATCAACAATTTTCGTGGCTCAGCTGGAGCTGTTCTCACTCTATGGACAAACAGGGCCAGTCCCTGCTCTCTGGGCTGAGATACTGTGAGCCCTGTTCTCGAAGAAGTCTGCCAAAGTCACCACCAAGGAGCTCCAGGTTACATAACCTCTGTTTCTCTAACCTCTCCTCTCAGGTCTTATTTTTCAAATGTCCAGTCATCCTTGTGGCTCCTCTGTTCCTCCTTGCCAAGTTCTTCACACGGACACAGTACTTCTAAAGTTGTACGCCAGAAGCACTCTGCTATTTCCCCTACCAAATCTTTCCAGAAGCTTCAAGTCTGTTCTCCACATCTGAGCCGTGGGCTGGGAAGCTGGAAACAGCCCTACCACACCAAACCATGCCTCCTGTATTGCTTTCACCTGTCTTCCTTGGACCAGACCACCTAAAGAGAGGATTAAGTGTAATCTTACCACATCTAGGTTACAAAGGCATGCATGGGTGGCAACCCATAGCCGCTTGGATTAGCCCCCCTTCTCATATTCCATCTTCGAACCACAGTCAAGGTAGAGGCCACCTCAGTAATACTCTTTTCATTTAGCAGATTTATTTCAGGCTGATATAATAAAGAGCCCATAGAAGGGCTGGAACTAGTGCTGGACCATGGCACTGCCCTCTGCTTTGCCCT